CCTCCCCTCCCCTCCCCTCACGTGCCACAGTGCATGCCCGACGATTTCGACGACCGCGTGCTCAACCTGCTGGGCTCGCTGCCAGCCAGCGACGGCGAGGAGTGCCTGTCCAAGCTGGAGTCAGCCTTGCGCATACCGGGCAGCGTGCGCAACCCGTCGGCCTACCTGGCCGGTGTGATCAAGAGGGTAGCGGGGGCCGGCGGCCCGCCCGGCGGCGGCCCCGGCGGCCCCGGCGGGCCCGGCGGCCCCGGCGCCGCCCCGCAGTCGGCCACGGCCGCCGAGCTGGCGCCGGCGGCGGCGCGGGTGCTGGAGGCGTTGTATGCAGAGGGCAGGCTGCGGCCGGGGGAGCTGGAGGGGCGCACCCTGGGCATGGTGGCGGCGATGCCGCCCGAGATGCAGCTCTTCGCCATGCGCACCTTTGCGGACCGCAACCTGGCAGGCATCCGCAACATGGCAGGTCAGGAGGGAGGCAGGGAGGGAGGCAGGGAGGGCCACGCTGCGCTTGCGTGGCGGCAGCGCTCATTCCGCGGCGGCGCGACGTGCATGCATGTGCGCGGCAGCCCGGCGTGAGTGCTTGCGCCAGCCCGTCCTGTTGCACCACGGCAGCCGCACACGCCTTGCCCTGCACCACATCTGCATCGCTGCCTCCTCTGGCCATGCGCCCCTCTCCCTCCCTCCCTCCTGCCCTCCCTCCATCGGTCTCTCTGTGTCTCTGCCGCTCATCCCCAGCCTCTGCCACATTCACTCGGGCATGTCACCTGTCCTGTGCCCACACCACGCACCATCCTTCTTCTCTTGTGTATGCATGCGTGCTGCATGCACCAGGCCAGTCGCCAGCACCCCGCATCGCCCCTGCTCCGGCGTGCATGCATGCGCTTCTGTGTGTGTGTTGTGCATGCCTGGGTGGCCAGCAGGGTGCTTCTCTGGCTGCACAAGCTCGCCGGCTGTCAAGTGCCGACGGTGCTGTGTGACACCTGCTGTGGGCACCGCCGGCGTGCACGACCTCCTCTTTCCACTCTCCTCGCTCCACCCACCGCTCCCTCAGCACACATCTCTCGCTCTCCTTCTCAACAATGCCGCTGCCTTCGACACCCGCTCTCATGCCGCCGCCGCAACCCGCTCTGCCTGCTCTTTCCACTCTTTGTGCAGCCTTCTTCGCGACGCACCTCACCCAGGCAGAGAGAGATGTTCGGGAGGGGCGGGTGCGCCTGCCTCCGCCCGGCAGCGTGGCTCCCGCCGGCGCCGGCGGGCCGGGCATGCCGCCTGGCCAGGCCGGCATGCAGCCCGGCGGGCCTCCGCAGCGCATGCCTCCGGGCCCCGCCGCCGCTCCGGGCATGCCATCCCCCTCACGCTTCATGCCGCAGCAGGGGCCTCCCCAGCAGCAGCAGGAGCCGCAGCAGCCCTACATGCAGCAGCCGCCGCCGCAGCAGCAGCAGCAGGCTCCTCCTCCCTGGTCCAACAACCAAAGCCAGATGAATGGCGCGTATGACCCAGCTGCGGTGCTGCACATGCAGCAGCAGCAGCAGGTGCCCGGCCCCGGTGCCCCCCCTGCCCACCCACACCAGCAGCAGTACTACGGCCAGCAGGCGCCCCCGCAGCAGCAGCAGCAGGCGGGGCTGCCCGGCGTGGACCTGCAGCAGCTCAACGGACTGCTGCAGACCCTCACCCAGCAGGCACCGCCCCAGCAGCCGCAGCAGCAGCAGCACCTCTCCCTGCCGCCGCACATGGGCGGCCCCGGCCCCGGCCCCGGCGCCGGCGCCTCCCTGCCCTCCTCCCGCGGCCCCGCCGGCCCCGCCACCGTGCCCCCCAGGCACTTTGGCCTGGAGCAGCTGGAGTGGGGTGTGCGGGTGGACGAGTTCCACGGCCTCTCGCCCTTTGCCAAGTACGTGCACCCGGCGGGGGCGCTCAAGCTGCAGCAGCTGTGGGATGCGGGCAACCGCCTGGTCTCGCTCCTGGACGACACGTGAGGCGGCGCTGCGCACGCTGTGCTGTGCATGCTGCGCTGTGCGGCCTTGGCTGTGGCATGCTGCGCTCCGTCGCCGTGGTGTGCTGTGCTGCGCTGTGCAGTGCTGTGTCATAGCTGCCAGCCTGC